AAAAAAAAAAAAAAAGAAAGAAAGAAAGAATGCTTGTCCCGTCTGCCCATGACAGCAAAGCTGGGAGGGATAATAAAAAACACTGGAAGACAAATACAGCACTGGCAAAGCTTTCAACAGGTAGCAACAAGTAGCCTGAATTGGTTGGCGTTTCCCAAAGTGTGTTCTCTGGAACACTAGTCATAAAAGAAGTTTCTTAGGGGAAAGGTTCCGGCTGCGCAAATGGGCAATGCTACACTCTGGAGTTAGACCCCACCTGGGGATTTACATCGCACACAAGCATATTCAGTGCTCTGAAAAATCCCACAGTAAAGACACACGGAACCTCCTTTCATGGATTCAAAGGTTCCAGATGCAGCCGTGTTGGTGGGATCCATGAATGAGGGAGGTGGCAGTGCTTAAGACAACAGAGGATCAGGGGGCAGGACTGGGGGTGATCCAGGTGGGCTTGACAGTTAAAGGCATTCAAAACATGTTTTAAAACTCAGAGTCAGCCAGGCTCAGAGTCGGTGGCTCACACCTGTAATCCTAGCATTTTGGGAGGCTGAAGTGGAAGGATCACTTGAGGCCAGGAGTTTGAGACCAGCCTGGGCAATATAGCAAGACCCCTTTCTGTACAAAAAATTAAATTAATTAAAATTAGCTGGGCATGGTGGTGTGCACCTGTAGTCTTGGCTACTAGGGTTGCTGTTACGATCATGCCACTGCACTCCAGCCTGGGTGACAGAGTAAGACCCTGCCTCTTTAAAAAAAAACAAAAAAACTAAGAGTCAAGTGAAACCCTGAAAACTACCTATTGACTGAGGCTTAAGGTCCTTCCTAACCCTTTGACGAAAAGGTATTTCATTCACGAAACACCCCTTTGACGAAAAGGTATTTCATTCACGAAACACCTGTTAACACTCAGCTGTCTTTGAAAAACACAATTTGGGGAATGCTGACCTACACTAACAGGATAAAATGCAGGAGGAATAAATATTTTTATATTCATATTTTTCCTACACTTACATTAAAAAAATACTAATAGTATAAATAGTAACAGCCTGAATACTAACAATATAAGTACTGGATAAGTGTCAGTATATAGAAAAAAAGATACAGGGGTCTTAGTTGACCATAAATTTTAAAATGGCAAGTGCCATTTTAGGCTGCATTAACGGCCTAAATAATAGGTAATAGTACTATTGTGTCATCTGAAGGTAGTCGTTAGATCATGAAGGATCGGACATTTATGTGAGGAATTATGGAAGGAAATGGCGATATTTAACTGTGAAAGTGTAAGGCTTGAGAGGGAAAAGGTTGGGTGGAACATTTCCTTTCAACCCTCGCACTTCCATGGGGAGAGATCTTTACATTGGAAAGTTTGGACAAATTGAGCACGTATGGTTCAAGAATAAAGCTGCTATTTTTATCTCCACTTGCCTGATTTGAGTGGCTCTCTCTCACTTGGTTCTGAACTTAAAAGGGAGGGAAAGGGGGTGTAGTTATTATCTCCTAAAGGGCCAGCAGGAAGTAACAGCTGTCATTAACTACTTGAAGGCCAGGATAAAATGTGTATGACTTACAGGGAGGTACATTTTGAGTCACCAGGAGGAATGACTTTTCCATGAATTGGAGCTCTCTGAAAACGCAGTGAACTGCCTTACTGAGACAGAGGCAGCCTCACCAATGGAAGCGTTCAAGCCCAGGGGAGGCAACTCTATGCCCAAGCTGAGATGGGAATTCTTGCTCTGGGTGGAACGTTGTATTAGAGGGCCTGTAAAGCACTTCCTATTGCTAAGATTTTACAGTTCTGCAATATGAAGACATGCATAGGGGGTTTAAGGAGTGAGAGTTATTCACTGATTGCAAATCTGCAGCCTACTAACTTCCTCCATATAAATTATACTCTGTAAGTGATACTGAACTCTCCCAAATAACAAAATCTTAGGAGAAATGATATTAGAATAGAAGAATAAATTGGTTTATTCATTCTATGGGATACCAATCAGCAGTTCAAATGTGTGAACAAGACTCAAAAACATAATGGTGAGTGACAAAAAAAAATGTGCAAAAGGATATATACTATACTTCCCCATTTATGTACATGAAAACAACTACAGAATATTATATATTATTTATGGGTCTATTAACATAGGTAGCAAAAGTATAAAGCACACATGGGAATGATATACCAACTACAGGACTTGGAGTGATTACTTCCGGGGAGCAGGAGAGGGGAAAGGGATGATGGCTTGGAGTATTAATTACAGCAGTCATGTTTTATTATTTTTTAAAATAAAAAACCTGGAGCACAAAAGGCAAAAGGTTTATGTCAGTGATGGGCAGACAAGTGTTTGTTATATTATTATATTCTTTTCCATACATTTCTGTATGTTTGAACTCATTTAAAATGAAGTAATACTATTACAGAACTTATATTAGAAGCCATAAGCCCAGTCCTCCCACAAGTGCAGGGTCTTCTCTCTCCTCTCATTGCTGGTCTCCCAGCCTTTGCTCTCTCACTCTTTTCATTCTCCAAGTTCATTTTATCCTGGTATTAAAGTGAAATATGCTTCCTTGTCAGCTTCTACTCCTTGGGCCTGACTCTGCCCCTTGGGACAACAATGACTCTACTGTTTTCTCACTGCTGAACTAACTTACGTGACTGCCCTTCTACAAAGCAATGGAACTTTGAGTCTTATGGGAAATTTGTTAAAATCTGCTCTATGTGGATTAGTATGTCAAATGCATGCTGAATATTTTTTTACTGCAAAAGACATCTTCCTGATTTTAATATAATTCAGTAAGAGATAAAACAAGATAAAATTCTTAAGAAAATATTTTTCATCAACTTTGAAGGAATTATTCTATTCCAGATATTAAAGAACTATAAAAGTCTCATTTTTCCTCACATTAAAAAATTTTTAATTATAAAGATGCTATTTCTTCTATAAACATGTTCATTTCAGAATTGGCTACAAACTGTGTTTACCATAAGGTAAGAGAAATTGGGTTTGGGTTTTTTTGCCTTATGGGTTAGCTCAGTGATGTTCAAATTGCAAGTTGTCATCAATTACTAGGTCACGAAATCAGCAATTGCAAACCTTAAAAAAGAAATGTAATAGAGCAGAAAACATTGACATGCCACACTCATAGAGTAAATCCTGTTTGTGAAACTTTGGCTTTGGTTTTTTAAAAATCGCACACACATACACAGAGCCATGTACTGTGCCACGATGCAAAATGTATTTCTTGTTATGGATTGCAGCAAAAAAAAAAAGTTTGAAAACAATTGGGTTAGATGCTAGCAAATGCTTACAAAAGGAGCTGTAAGCCAGGTTTCTTTAGTTTAGCCTGAAACACCAGTGCTGTTTGAATTTATTGGATATAAAAATGTGTGATATGAAGGTAGGAACCAAAGAGGAGCCAACTGAGATAGGTTGGGGTTCAGAGCTACATCTTTGCTGGGTACCAGTAACACAAGGAAATATTCTGCTTCCTGCTTTGTCCAAATTTAAGATTTCACAGAATTGTTTTTGGGAGCTTTATTACTTCATTTACATATGTCATAGAGACTATACAATGCTAATGAGCACAAGAAAAACTTAGCATTTTAACCTCCTCTGCTATTGTTGATACTTCTGCAAACTGAAGAAGCCCTGCAGCTTCCACCTTGATCCTGTCAATGAAGGTGTTTGAGTCCCCATCCCCTGGCAGTCCAGAGCAGGGGGCCACCGTCAATAACACCTTTCCTGTTCTAGTAAAGCCATTCGGGACAGAGCAATTAGCGCTAAGAACCCAAATACAAAGAGAAATGCAATTCATGAACCTGTTCCTTGTTAGACCCTAATGAGGGACTTAGTATGAGCTCCATCTATCCTCAGAACATACACACACTTAATGGATTTTTCTTTCTGCCCTTCTTCTCCAACACAATTGGCTTTTATTTATTCTGACATACTCTACACGTAACAAACCTCGGAGAGCGTTGATAGTATTGGAGTTAAGGGCACTCACGCCATGCCTCAGACTGCCATAGACGTTACTTTTGACCAGGACGTCCTCAGTGAACAGCTTACGAATAAGGTATCTGGCTGACAGCTCTGGGCGAGTCTTCCTTTTTGCTATATTCAGTACTGAATATGGCATCTGTATATTTCTCTGTGGATTTCCAAAATAGTCTAGGAGCAAAAGCAAAAGATGTCAATTTTCATGGCAGATGTTAGGTTGCATTTTTTTTTTTTTAAGGCTGTAATAGAAAGGTTGACTTTTCTGAATTTTTTGGCTCAAGAATTTGAGAAGTTAAAAGAATTTAAAGCCTTGTTTTTAGTGGATTATGAGATAGCATGAGAGATGAGTAGAAATCACTGCTAACGTGATTACACATGCTCCCATGTTCAAGAGGAAGATTTAGTATTCTGCTACCTTTTAGGATATAAGTTTTAAAATTACATTTAGTAACAAATTCTAAGTAATTTTAATGCATTGTTTCCCTACTTATAAGAAAGGCTTTTTCAAAAATAGGCACCATGATTCTTGCTGAAATATTTATAAGTATTAAAATGTAGGTTTTTTATTTAGTATTAAACTCATCATTCAAAAATCAACAAACTGCTGATTCATCTTAAACAATGTATTTTAGATACCTTATTTGAACTGAAAAATAAATTTTAAACCTGTTTTCATTTCTCAATTCTACAGCTTAATCATCAACTTTGGTCCATAGTGATTCGATGAACCATATTTGAAAAATATTATATTTTACATAAAGGAATTATTTGTTCAAGAAAATATATTAGAGGAGTACACTATGATTCTTACAAGTCAATAAACATTATTTTTCATCTTGGAACATCCATCATTTAATGGGTGGCAGTATAAATTGCTGAATCATCTAGATTCAACATTTACCAAGAGATATTATTTAGAAATGCATTCAATGGGTCCAAAGACTTAACTTGCTTAACTCTAGGAGATTAACCAAGCAATATTTATCAAGGGTCAGGAAAAAAGGTCAATATTCTTTACCCTGGTAATTTAATTTCTGAGAACCTAACTTAAGAAAGTAATCCAAAATATGGAAAAAGCTATCCAAATGAAGATTTTTTGTGTTAGTGTGATTTATAATCCCCTTCCCAAAAACCCTCAAGCCAAAAAAAAAAAAAATGACGAAAAAGAGGGAGGTAGTTAAATAAATTGGGGTACACTTACTCAATGGAATGTTATAAACCTATTGGGATCAATGATTATGAAGGTTGTAGATTTTTGAGGAAAAACATATACATATTATATTAGAGAAGGAGCGTAATTATATGGAGATCATAATGTTTCATGTATAACAGACTACACACGAACTACGGTAGGTTGCTTGGCTCACAGTGGCCTGTCCCCTCGTTATAGCTGAGGGAGGGTTAGAGACATGTGACCCAAGCTCCCCAGATGCAATTCTTTCTCTTTCCCACAGTCTTGGGGCTGCTCTGACTCCTGTCTGTCTGAGACTCGATTTGTTCTTTGTTTCTTTAAATGTGGGAGCTACTGGTCCAGTGATTTTTGTCGTTGTTTCTACAGTGTACAACCTTAACAAATACAGTAGATTGCTTTTAGAATGGAAAAAATAATATAAAGATATGTCACTTCAATAATTCTGTTTGAACAGGATCCCAGGTAATGTTCTAGTTAGGGTTAACATAGGGCAAGATGAACTGTGAAGCATGAATGGCAGGTGGCACAGTCACCTACTGAACCACTGCCACGCAGCACTAATCAAAGCAGGATGTGTCTTCAACAGCCAGCTTAGCAGTGGGAACAAAATGTTCTAAGGAAATGGGTTCCTTAATTTATGCCAAAAATCCTTATTGAGCACCTGCAGTGTGCCAGGCAGGCACACAGAGAACAAGAACTTCGTCCCGGCTGTGGAGGATGGTGCCTCATCAGAGCGCTCACATGTGTCGGGTGAGTCGGCACAGAGCTGCTCTGTGCAGGAAAAATAACAGAATCGGCTTCACGCTAAAAGCAATCAGTCTCAGAACTAGGCATCTATATTTCATTAACTCATTAATATAAGAGTTTGAATTGTTTTGCTTTCTTATGAAATTTTTCAAACATACATAAAAGTAGAGAGAATAATACAATGAGCCCCATAAATGCATCACCCGGATTCAACATTTATCAGCGAGAGAATTTATTTTTAAAACTCACTCAGTGCTTCTTGAGGTGCTATGGAGTTACCAGTGGAAGGTGTTTTCATTTCTTCAGGGATAGCATTACTGGGCTGCTGAGAAGCCCCATTTTCTCTTGTGTCCGAGGCGCTCGTATGCAGAGGTAACGAAGAACTGCCTTCACTGCCAACACTACCCCCTTCACCATTCAAATCTGCAGACGCTGGTGCACCAGGCTCGGTAGGGCCTTTATTTTTGCCAACAGTTTTCTGCTGAAACACAAAACTGGATCTATAACCAAAATGTCTTTTCTTTCATCACTTTTCAAGTGTTTTGTTTAGAAAATTGAGGGATTTTAAAATTGTTGAGACTGTGGTTATTATCAATTTTAAAATTAAATAAACTGTGATGTCATTTTTTCCCAGCATATTACGGGGGTACAAATGTTTAGGTTACATATATTGCCTTTGTCCTGCCGGAGTCAGAGCTTCAAGCGTGCCCATCCCCCAGACGGTGCGCACTACACTCATTAAGTGTGTATACCCATCCCCTCCTCCCCCTCCGACCTGCCTGGCACCCGATGAATGTTACTACTATATGTGCACATAAGTGTTGATCAATTAGTCCAATTTGATGGTGAGTACATATGGTGCTTGTTTTTCCATTCTTGTGATACTTCACTTAGTAGATGTTAGAAAACATATTTAGATTCTTTATGTGAAATATTCTGGGTTCATTTATTAAATTTATTTGTGCCACCAAAGGCTGTCATGACCTACTGTTTCTTGGGGGACTTGGTAGCTCTGTCTAACGAACTGAATGAGAATTGCTGGCGCAAATGCAGTGCATAATAAACATTTCATGAATAAATAGTTTCTTGAGGATGACAACTTTTTGTTTGTTTTTAATGTTTTGTTTATTATGTGTTTTCTCTTTTCCTAGTGGCTTTCAAATCAGACTACACATTTGAATTACCCTAGTGATCTTTAAAAAAAAATGGCTATGCTGGGCCCTGCCCTCAGCAAATTCAACCAGAATCTCTGGTGGTGGAATGGGGGAGCTCGGGCATCAGTAACTACTTCTAAAAGTGTCTCATGTGATTCTAATATGCACCCAGGGTTGGTCACCACTGCTCTGGGTTGGGGCTTCTCTAACTTTAACATGCACATGAATCACCTGGGGTGGGGGGTCTTGCTAACATACAAATTCTGCTTAGTGAGTGTGGCGTGCAAGACAAGACTCTGCAGTTTTCACAAGCTTGCCGGGCTGTGGACCCACTTTGAGTGGCTAAGGACCCGCCCTGTTCCCAGTCAAGCACATAGCAGGCACGTGGCAGATGCTGCTTCTCTTCTGATGCCTAAGCAAATATGCAAATGATCATTTTCCAGGCAGTATCTTCATTTTACATTCAAATTGTTTAGGGTGCAATTTTTGAAAGCTATAAAATGGAATGTTAAAAATAAGCAGATTGGGTTTCAGACAGATGGTGCTTGAGCTATCACTGAAATCAACCCATTCACCAGGAAAACATAAGCTCGGCTACAAATAGTCTTGGCAAATAGTTTCCGTAAACTTACTCTAGAGACACAGGAGTGACTAGACAAGGTGAGAATAAAATGGGGTTTTCAGAGACGTTGGTGGAAATTAGGAATTGTCATTAAGATAAATACTTCATCAGAAGACAATAGATACGACACTTCCCAAGTGGCCCATTTACTGGTTAGAAAAAAAAATCTCTAATGTACTTTGAAGATAGAATGGATGAGAGAGAAACCAGATTCCTGTTACCACGTAACTATAGAGAGTATAAAATATCTGTGCTAGTTTAACCTCGTGGTATGCAACATTTTCACCAGGTTCCACCATCACTGAAAGTACACAAGTAATGAAGTGCCTGCGTTTTCTCCTGCGCCGCCAGGGAACACACACAGTCTTTTGTGTTCCTCAGTGAGATACTGAAAAAAGTTTGCCAAATATCCTGTTAGCTGAAACTTTTTTCCAGTATTGTCCTTGGCTTCAAATATACTAATTATAACACTATATTCGATTTATCTTTAGGGTATTTTTATATAGCATAAATATAAAACAAGGAAAATAAACAGGCAGTATGCTTTTGAAAGAACATCCCCTGCCCCCTAAATTAAGTAAATGAGATTTTAGCACATGGCCTGAAGATACTGCGTGCCATGCTAACAGTTCTGGAGTGTATATAGTATGAACTTATGTAGCAGTTACCATATTTAGATGAAAAACAACTTACTTGTGTTCTTTTGGTTTCAGAACATACATAGCGGATCAGAGACCTGATATAAGACATACACTCTTTCCAGTCTTTTCCAAGTTCACTCAAATCATAGTTGGGAAAAATTCCTGCCAGATATTCTGTAAACAGCAGAAAGTATTAACGAAAATTAGGACAAAATTAACGAAGAAACAAGATATTTTTTATTTAAAATAAATACTTGCTTTTTCTCTTTCTAATTATCATTCTTTTCTCTGACTCATTCTGAAAGTTTAGAAATTCCACCCAACAAGGATGTTTTGCCGAATTATCTCACTTCCTCTACTGCAAGATCCCCTAAAACTGACTGAGGGAGCCAATACTGACTTCTTGGTGCTTTTAAAAAAAAGTGTGTAACCAAAAGTCAATTCTTTCAGGGTGCCTGGACCATTTAGTAACCCAATGGATAAATCAGAACTAAACAGAAAAGGAAACACATAAAGAGAAAATAGTATTACTGCAAATGTTACTACACCAGGGTCTATTCATCTGTGTACTTACCATGTCTATCTCCCCCAGAAGCTATCCCCTTGGCCTAGAACACCTTCCTATTCCCCTTACCTAGCTAAGGAGAGTCCTTCAGAATCCAGCTCAAATGTCTTATCCCTAGCCAAGCCTTCCTGAACTCCCTCAAAGTTGCTCTGCTCTGAGCCTCCCCCACACTATACCAATAGACTGGAATTTATGTTTCCATCACCGTGTCCCTTTTCAGACTGTGAGCTCCTTGCAGGCAGAAATACTTATTCATTGTGGTAAGCCTCAGTACCCATGAGTTCTAGGACCTCAATACACATTTCTAGAAGCAGGAAGGCAGGAGGCTGTAGTGGACCAATCATCAGTTCTTATTTCTGTGTTGCCGGTCATCAGCACTGAAAAGTCTGTTGTATTCCCTCACCTCTTTTTGGGGGGCAAGGGGAGGCTTTTTCAGTATTTTTTAGTAGCAACTTTCAGTGCTAAAGAATTGACTTAGTACTAACCATAAGTTACTATAATCAATAAGGCTTGTCTTATCGAACCAGTCAATGGGTAAGTTTTATTCTTATGAAAAATTAAAAAATGAACAGTTCTAGGATTTACACAGGCTTCATTGTTATTTCTTCGACTGCCAATAACATTCATCATATGACCAAATGATGATAAAAACAAGATTTCATTATAACTTTACATATGCATACCTCTTAGTGCAGCCATTTTGTTTGGATCTAGGCATTGGCGGCCTTGTGAATTGGCACCCACAGAGCTGCACATCAGGATTTCCCTGGAGAACAAATTACGAACCAAGTAGCGGGCTGCATTCTTAGGTGCGGCTTTCTGTTGTGCAGTCGCCAAATGAGTATTAAGCATCGTGACATTTCTTTTTGGATCACCAAGATATCCTTTAAAAAAATACAGGGAAAAAGGAAAATCCTTGTGTTTATCTTGCAAGGATACCCTAACCATGCTCAAGAGAATTAAACACTGATTTCTAATTCACAAATTTCCATTTGGGTGAATTTCTTTCTATGCTTATCCCTTCTTTTCCTTAAATGGGTCTCTCTGACTCTACCTGCTTGACTGTCAACATTCTTCATCTTTGCTAATCTTGAACTTGCTGTATCTGAACTAATCTGTTCATTGGCTTGAATAAATTTAATTGTTAGGCTGCAGATACATATGTAAACATGTTTCTCTGATTCCCATTGCTCCTTTTTATACTCTAAAAGTACACTCTCCAGCCTGGGCAACATAGCAAGATCCTGTCTCTACGAAATTTAGAAAATCAGCCAGGCGTGGTAGTGTGCACTTATAGTCTCAGCTACTCAGGAGGCTGAGGCAGGAGGATCACTTGAGCCCAGGAGATGGATGCTGCAGTGAGCTATGATCGTGCCACTGCACTCCAGCCTGGGTGACAGAGCAAGACCTTGTCTCTAAAATAAATAAATGAATAAAATTATACTCAGAGCCATATTACTGAGTGAGTATATGTTCCCTGGAGACAATTTGGAAAGTAGGGGTGGGGATAATGAAGAAAACTTTCAAATAGCTAGCATTTATTAGTAGCTACTATATATCAAGCACTATGCTAAATATGTTACATCTATAAGCTCAGGTTCATCATCCTAGCAACTCCACCATTATTCCCACTTACCAGAGGAGGAAACTGAGGCCTAGGGAGGCTATTATTTGAACAAGGTCACATTGCTAGTTGTAGAACCAGTTTTCAAATCTAAGTCTGTCTATTTATAAGCCAAGTACTCTGAACCATTAATCTTTTGCTATTGTCTTCCATTCTTTCTCCTATTTCCTTTTTGAAATACAAAATTGAAATCATACTTTATGTATAGTTTGAATCCTGAGTTTTCAGTTAACATTATATTTTGAGCATTTCTCTGCTTTCTTCTTCCTCTTTCTTTTTCAGTCTGCATCCCTGTCATCACGATTTTCCTGACAGGTGATATTTATGTTGTATTGATGTCCTATGCATTGTGTCCAGGGCTTTAATGCATTGTCCCATCTGATCCTTACAATTCCATGAGGTAGATACTATTATTTTTGTCATTGAAGAAACCAAAATTTAGGTTAGGAAAGTGGCTAAAGGTCACAAGGTTAGTAAGACACAGAGTTGGGATTTGAACCCAGACAGGTGGACTCGAGAGCCTGTGTTCTCAACCATTAAGACTTTACTGCCTTGTATGCCATGGATATATCTAAGTCACATCACTAATTCCCTATTGTCTCTTGTTTTTTCTTTTCCAATTTTTCACAATTCTGTAAAGGATATTCTTGTACTAAGAGTTTCATGTAAATTGTTTACTATACTTTCGGGTAGAAGTGAGATTACTGAATCAACTGGCACAAATATTTTTATGGATTTTTATACAAATTACCCTTTAGAAAGCTTGCACCAATGTATGCTTCTAACAACAGTGTATCGGAGTGCCCATTTTAATACAAACAGCGCAATTTTGGAAGTTTCTTCTGGTTCAGGTAACAACGTAATTTAAAGGAAAAGGCTCTCTTCTAGGACAGGAGTCAGCAAACTGCAGTCCACCAGCCCACCCCTCCACTTGTCTGTGTGAATGAAGCTGCACATGGGTGCACTGGCACATGGCCATGCCCATTCATTTACCTATGGGCTGCTTTCGTGTTACAACAGCGGAGGTGGGTAGTTGTGACAGACAATACTATCTAGCCCTTTACAGAAAAGGTTTCCAGATCTCTGTTCTAGGATAGTAATAAGAAATAAGCTGCTCAGAAGTTGAGACACAAACACAAAAGAACTATAACATATTTGGAAGGCTTGCCCTTGGAGGCCATGGAGCTTGGGGTCCTCTCTTCTCTCCCACTATGGCTTGGCAGGCAGTACAGCAGACCAGTGAGAACATGAGCTTTAAAGTCAGAGAGAACTGGGGTAGAGTTCTGCAAGTGCCACTCACCAGCTCTGTGACCTCAGGGATGGGGTATATAAAAGTGGCAACATCATGGGGTCATTTTAAATGTAAGCGGAGAAGAGGCACATCAGCTGATTGGCACAGTGCCTTGCATATAATAAGTACTCAACAAATATTAGTCATCATTCTGAATATCACCTAAAACCAGCCCTCAAAATAGAAAACAAACAGCTTCCACTAGCTTGTATCAAGGATGTTGATGAATATAGGTCAAACGGTGCCACTTGTACTGTGTGTCATATCAAACTCACCATAATTGGGAGGGATACAGACAGATGATGAGGAAGAATCTGGGCCACTGTCATTTTTCAAGAAAGTTGGGCAATTAATTGTGTCAGAGCTGTTTTCCATGCTGGTTTCTGCTTTTATCAATATTTTTATAAGTAAAAGTACTGAAAGAAAAGCTCTCAACTGCTAATTTTGTATCCACAAAAACTGCTTTTCAGGTATGGAGGGGAAATAAACACACTCTCAGACAAAAGAAAACTAAAGGTATTTGTCGCCAGCAGATCTACTCTTAAAAGAATGGCTAAAGGAAGATCTTCAAACAAAAAGGTTATGATGATAGAAGGAATTGTGGAGCATCAGGGAGGATGGAAGTACAGAAAGAGCAGAAATATGCATGTGGAGAAACTAGATCATTCCTACATTGTTGGAGGAAATGAAAATGGAACAGTCATCCTGGAAAACAGTTTGGCAGTTTCTTAAAAAACTGAAATTACTACATAGCCCAGCAATTTCACTCTTAGGAATTTATCCCAGAGAAATAAAAGCACATGTTGACACAAAACCTGCATATGAATGTTCTTTGTAGCTTTATGTGTGATAGCCAAAAAATGAAGACAACCCAAATGTCCTTCAAACTGCAGTGAATCTATACCATAGAATACTATTCAGTAATAAAAAGAACAGAAAGAACAGAAATATGGATAAATAGAAAACTATCGTGAGTTTTCTTAATCACAGGGGGTGACTAAAAGAAAAACGAAAACACCATCTGATACCTATGACCTATGACATTTAAAAGTGGGGAGGGGCCGGGCGCGGTGGCTCACACCTGTAATCCTAACACTCTGGGAGGCTGAGGCGGGTGGATCGCTCAAGGTCAGGAGTTCAAGACCAGCCTAAGCAAGAGTGAGACCTCGTCTCTACTAAAAATAGAAAGAAACTATTTGGACAACTAAAAATCTATATAGAAAAAATTAGCCAGGCATGGTGGCTCATGTCTGTAGTCCCAGCTACTCGGGAGGCTGAGGCAGAAGGATCATTCAAGCCCAGGAGTTTGAGGTTGCTGTGAGCTAGGCTGACGCCACAGCACTCTACTCTGGCAACAGAGTGAGACTGTGTCTCAAAAAAAAAAAAAAAAAAAAGTGGGGAGGGCAAAGGAACCTAAGTGGAATTAAAGTTTCAACACTTCATTCTAAGTGAGAAAATGTTGATTCTCTGGCAGACTGTGATAGGTCACATATGTATATAGTAATACCCAGAGCAACCACTAGGAAAACTACACAAAGCAATATAGTAAAAAACATAAACAAATCAAGATGGAATACTAAAAATGTTCAAGTAACTCCCAGAAAGGCAAGAGAGAGAAACAGAAGAAAAAGAAAGAGAGGAAAGAAACAGAAAAATAATTAAATGGAAGACTTAAACCCTATGATATCAATAATTACCTTGGATGCAAATGGTCTAAACACATCAATTAAATGTCAGCAATTGACAACATAGACAAAAGATAAGACCCAACTATATGCTGTTTATAAATTTTTTTTTAAGAGACAGGATCTTGCTCTATTGTGCAGGCTGGAGTGCAGTGCCATGATAACTCACCGTAACCTCCAACTTCTGGTCTCAAGCAATTCTCTCACCTCAGCCTCCTGGGTAGCTAGGACTACAAGCACATACCAACACACCTGGCTAATTTTTTAATTTTTTGTAAAGATGGGGTCTCACTATATTATTCAGGCTGGTCTTAAACCCCTGGCCTCAAGCAATCTTCCCTCCTTGGCTTCCTAGAGCACTGGATTACAGGTGTGAGCCATTGCACCTGGCTGCCTAACTGATATTTTATTAAGGTGCAAAAGCAAATTCAATGGAGGAAAGATAGCCACTCAAAAAATGGTACTGCAGCAATTATATATCCATAGGCAAAATAATAATAATAACCTCAGCCTAAACCTCATACCTTATATAAAACTGAAAACTCAAAATGGATCACAACTTAGATATGAGTTATAAAAATATAAAACTTAAAAAAAAACAGATGAGAAAAAACTTAGGATCGAAAACTAGGCAGAGCTCATAGATTTGACACCGAAAGCACAGTCCATGAGAGGAAAAGTTGATAAATTGGAGCTCAAGAAAATTAAAAACTTTCTCTCTGCAAACAAAACAAAACAAAAAAGCCTGTAAAGAAGATGAAAAGGCAAGCTGCAAACAAGAAAATATTTGAAAACTGCATATTCAACAAGACTACTACCCACAATATCTAAGTAATTCTCAAAACATAGCAGTAAAAAAAACAAACATTATTATAAGAACAGATATTTCAGAGAAAAGGATATACAGATGGAAAATGAGAACATGAAAAGATGTACATCATAACCAAAGGCAAATGCACACGAAACCCACAATGAAGTATTACCATATACCTATCAGAATGACTATCTGAATCACTAAAATCAAAAAATAGTGAAAACACCAAATACTGATAAGGATGCAGAGGAACTGAATTACTCCTACATTGCTGATGGGAATGTAAAGTTGTACAGCCACTCTGGAAATAGTTTGACAGTTTCTTATAAAACTAAATATGCAATTACTATACCACCCTGCAATTAATTGTACTTGGGTATTTATCACAGAGGAATGAAAAAGGCATGTTCACAAAAACACCTGTACACTAGTGCTCATAGCGGCTTTACTTATAATAGCCAAAAATTGGACACAATCTGGATGTCTTTCAACAGGTGAACAAATAAACAAACCATGGTACATCCACACCATGAAACAGTACTCAGCAATAAAAAGGAAGGAGATACCAATACATGCAAAAATTTGCATGACACTCCAGGGAATTTATGCTACGTGAAACAAAGGCAATCCCAAAAGGTTAAATGCTGTATGAGTCCATTCATATAACATTCTTTCAACGGAAAAATTATGAAGATGGAGAACACACTTGTAGTTGGATGGGTTAAGGATGAGGCCAGGGAGGGAATGACGTGAAGGAGTGGGTGTGGTTATAAAAAGGCAGTAAGAGGGTTCCTAGAAGTAATGGGACAGCTCTGCACCATGACTAGTGGTAAGCACCTGAACCTAAACATGTCATAACACTGCAGAGAACTAAACACACTCTCACACACAAATGAACATGAGGAAAGCTGAGGACATCTGAAGAGATCTGCTGATTGTATAAATTTCAAAATCCTAGTTGTGATACTTTTAGTGTATTTTTTCAAAAATATTACTATTGAGGGACACTGGGCAAAGGATACACAAGATCTCTATGTGTTATTTCTTATGCCTGCATGAGATTCTGAAATATCTCAAAATGAAAAGTTTAATTTTAAAAAGCTATCACTGATAATTAATATGAAGAATGCTGGTGAATCTAGATTAAAGAGTGCTATTTGTATTAATACTGTGTATCATTTCAAACTCATCAAACCGGGAGTGAGGAAGACAGATGCTGAATCATTATCTTGGCCATTGGCATTTTCTACTGAAGTGGGGTAATTCACTGTCTCAGAATGCTTTTCTGGGCTGGATTCTGTTTTGAGCAACATTTCAATATATAAAACATTTTCCAGTGCTGGCAGACAAGAAATCTCAACCACGTTTTTTATATCAGGCAAAACTATCCTTCAGGAATGATGGGAAAAAAAGATGTTCTCAGACAAAAGAAAACTTTTTTAAAAAATCGTCACTGCCTGACTTACCTTCAAAGAATGGCTAAAGGAAGATCGTTAAATGAAGGGGTGGGGAACCTGTGGTTTTCTAGGTCCTTAAGTTCAGCCTTTTGACTGAATCCAAATTTTACAGAACAAATCCTTTTAATAAAAGGATTACAACGGGTGCAGCAGAGAAAGATGAAGCTTTCCTTGCCTCCTTTGGTGCTTAAAAAAGAACAATCTTGAAATCAGAAGGCTGAAGCTTCCCCACCCCTTATTGCAAAATGGTACAGCCACTCTGAAAAACAGCTTGGCAGTATTTTATAAAACTAAACATACACTTGCCATAGAGTATCTCAGAGAAATGAAAACTTACGTTTGCACAAAACCAGTACAGTACATGAGTTTTCATAGCAGGTTCATTTCTAATAGCCAAAACCAAAAAACAACCCAGATGTCCTTCAGTAGGTGAAAAGATAAACAAACCGTGGTACATCCACACCATGGAATCGTCCTCAACAATAAAAAAAGAACTACTGACACATGCAGCAACTTGGATGAGTCTCCAGGGAATTATGCTGAGTAGAAAAAACCAGTCTCAAAAGGTTACAGACTATTTGAGACCATTTATATAAAATTCTCAAAATGACAAAAATCTAAAGAAGGAGAACAGATCAGTGGCTGCCCAACGGAGGCACAAGGCAGGGTAGGGGCAGAGAAGGGAAAGGTGGGTATGTCTCTAAGAGGCAACAGGAGGGACCACTGTAGTGATGAAAATATTCTGTATCTTGACTGTGATGGAAGATTTGGAAACCTACTTGTGTCATTAAATTATATCAAACAGAATACATATACACACATGCACAAACACAAGTAAAACTGGTTTTGATACCATACTATAGTTCTGTAAGGTGTTATCACTGGCGAAAGTGGGGAAAGTGTGCATGGGATCTCTCTGCATTATTTCTTACAACTGCATGTGCAGCTAAACTTTTCTCAAAATAACTTTTAATTTTTCATTAATTTTTAATTAAGAAAAGCTACTGCTAGCTCACATTAAGGGAGTTAATGAATCCAAATTTAATAGTGCTACTTATAATATGTTATCATTTCAAACTTGCCAGAACTGAACTATGTTGACCACTATCTTTTTCCAATAAAGGTGGGTAGTTCATCATCTGAGGCTGTTTCCTAGGCTATTTTCTACATTAACCAACATTTCTATAAGGAACATATTTTTCAAATACTGTAAGAAACAGTCCCAACCATGTATTCTATATCTGGTGAAACTATCCTTTGGGACCGAAGCAAAAATGAAGACATTCATAAACAAAGGAAAGCCAAAAGTACTTGTCACTAGCTGACTTACACTTAAAAAAAATGGCTAAAGAAAAATCTTCAGTCAGAAAGGATAGAAGGAATGGAGCATCACTAAGGAAGGAAGAGCAGCAATATGGCTGTGGAGAAACTGGATCACACGTGCATTGCTGGTGCGAATGGAAAATGGTACAGCTGCACTGGAAAACAGTTTGTCCGTTTCTTGTAAAATTAAAGATGCAATTACCAAAAGACCCAGTGATTGTGCTCTTGAGCATTCATTTCGGAGAAGTGAAAACCAGTGTGAATGAATGAAATGAATAAAATGAAGCAAAACGAAAACTTTGAATGAGTGTTCACAGCAGCTTTATGTCTAATAGCACAGGAAACTCAGAGGTCTTCAATGGGCAAAGTGATAAACAAAGCCTGGTATACCTGTACCATGGAATATTCCTCAGCAATAAAAAGGAAGGAATGACTGATACACACAACAATGTGGATGGGTCTTCAGGGAATTATACTGAATGAAAAAAGCCAACCCCGAAAGGTTACATACCACATTGATTCCATGTATATAATACTGAAGTGACAAATTATAACTCTGGAGAACAGGATTATTGGTTGCCAGCAGTTAGAGACAGGTCAGGGGTGGGAGTGAGCGAAAGTGTTCACTAGAGAAAGGTGGGTTTGGTTATAAAAGGGCAATATGAAGGTCCATGACAGTGATGGGACCATTTCAGGGCTTGCCTGTGGTAGAGGATACATGAACCTCCACGATAAAAACATAACTAAAACACATACATACACATGCACACAAATACAAGTAAAACTGGGCACATCTTAATAATATCTGTGAAAGGTATCATGTCAATAACCTAGTTGTAATAATTTTCTATAGTTTTTTTTTACAAGATGTTACCGTTAGGGAAAAGTGGGTAATGGAAACACAGGATCTCTCTGCATTATGCAGCTAAGTTTTTCTGAAAATAAAAACTTTAATTAGAAAAATTTACCATTTTCTTGCACTATGGATGTCAAAGAATCTAGATTAAATAGTGCTACATGTAATAAGTATCATTTCAAACTCGCCAAAATTGTGAGGGATGCAGTGAGATGACAAAGAAATATTTTGGCTACTGTCATTTTCTAATAAAGGTGGGTAATTTGTCATCTCAGGGCTTCTTCCTAGGCTGGCTTGTGCTTTGACCAACATTTGTATTAATATAAATAAAATATTTTCAAATACTGAAAGACAAGAAATCTCAACCATGAATTCTGTATCAGGCAAAAGTATGCTTCAAGAATGAAGGGGAAATAAAGACATTCTCACATGAGGCAAAACTAAAAGTATCTGTCACTAGCTGCTGTACACTTAAAGAATGGCTAAAGGAAAATCTTCAAACAGAGAAGAATGATGAAAGAGCAAATCTTGGAGCATCAAAAAGGAAGAAAAAATAACAAAAGCAGCAGAAATATGGATGTGGAGAAACTGGATCATTCATATGCAGTTGCTGGGAATGTAAAATGGCACAGCCTCTCTGGAACCATTTAGAAGTTTCTTATAAAACTAAACATGCAATTACTATACAACCAAGCATTTGCACTCTTGGATATTTATCCAAGACAAATAGAAACTTATGTTTACACAAATATCTGTACATGAATGGCCACAGCAATTTTACTTATAATAGTCAAAAACTGGAAACAACTCAGATATCTTTCAATAGGTGAACGAATAAACAAAGTGTGGTACATCTATCTATACCATGCTAGAGTAATCAGCAATAAAAAATAAGGACTACTGATATCACACAACAAGTCAGATGAATCTCCAGGGAATTAGGCTGAGGCAGGTATAGTTATAAAAGAACAAGATGAGGCATCCTTGTGGTGAAGGAAACGTGTGCATCTTGACCATGGTGGTGGGAATCAAACCTACGCATATGACAAAACTGAATATAACTAAATCCACACACACAAATCAATACAATTAAACTGAGAAATCCCAATAAGACCTATGGATTGCATCAAGGTCAACATGCTGGTTATGATGTTCTACTATAGTTTGGCAAGATATTATTGGGAGAAATGAGTAAAAGGCAAAGGATATTTCTCTGTATTATTTCTTACAACTACATTTGTATCTTAAATTACCACAAAATTAAGTTTATTTTTAGAAGCTACCACTAGCTTTACATTAAGGATGTTGATAGATCTAGATTAAACAGTGCTACTAGTAACATGTACCATTTCAAACTCACCACAATAGGGAGGAATGGAGGCAGATGAAGAGGCAGCATCTTGGCCGCTGTCATTTCCCGATACAGTTGTCTGAGAGTTGTTTCCCTGGCTGGTTTCTGCTGCGTTTCCTGGCATTTCTTGGCTGGTTTCTGCTGCTTTTCCCCGCGTTTCTAGCAGTATAACTTTTTCAAGTACTGAAAGACAAGAACTCTCAACCATTAATTTTATATTGGGTAAAATTATCCCTCAGGAAAGAAGAGGAAATAAAGACATCCTCACAAAAAGGAAAATTAAAGGAATTTGTCCCTAGCAGATTTATCCTTAAAAAAAAAAAAAAACAGCTAAAGGAAAATCTCTGAACAGAAAACATATTACAAAAGAAGGAATCTTGGAGTATCAGGAAGGAAGAAAGGATGATGGAAACATTGGAAATATAGATGTGGAGAAACCGGATTACTGAATCACTGCTGTTGGAAATATATAATAGTACAGCCTTTCTGGGAAACCGTTCGGCAGTTTCTTATAAAACAAAACGTGCTATTACCTTAAGACCCAGAAATTGCACTCTTGGCATTCATGACAAAGAAATGAAAACTCATATTTACACAAAAACCAGTACATGAATGTTCACAGTAGCTTTACCTGTAATATCCAAAAACTGGAAAGAAAAAACCAGATGTCCTTCAATGGGTGAATGGTTTTTTTAAAAAAAACTGTTCCTATCTATACCATGGAAAGCTATTCATCAATAAGAATGAAGGAACTATTGAGAAATGAAAACTTACATTTATACAAAAATGTATACATGAATATTCATAGCAGCTTTACTCCCAATAGCCAAAAACTAAAAACAAAACCCCAGATGGTCCCTCAGCAGGTGAATAAACAAAATGTAGTATATCCATACCATGGAATAGGAACAAACTGTTAATACATGAAACAACCTGGATGAGTCTGCAGGAAATTAAGCTGAGTGAAAAAAAAAGCCAATCCAAAATATGATTCCACTGATGTAATAATCTGAAGAGACAAAATTATAGAGATGGAGAAGAGATCAATGGTAGCCAGGTGTTAGGGATGGGTCAAGGATGCAGGGAAGGGTGACCTGAGAGTTCGATGTGGTTGTCAAAGGGTATTATGAGGGCTCCTCACACCGATGGAAATGATCTCTACTTTGACTGTGGTGGTGGACACACAAACCTACTTGTGGAATAAAATTGCATAGTACTAAATACACACATGCACACACACAAATACATACAAGTAAAACTGGGGCCATCTCAATAAGACCTGTGGGTTGTATCAATGCGAATATCCTGGTTGTGATATTTTGCTGTACTTTTGCAGAATATTACTATTGGGGGAAATTAAGGGTACACAGAATATCTCTGTATTATTTCTTACACTTGTGTGTGATTCTGAAATATCTCAATATGAAAAGTTGAATTTTAAAAAGCTATCACTAAGAATTAATATTAAGAATGTTGATGGATCTAGATTAAAGAGCGTTGCTTATAATATGTATCATTTCAAACTCACCAAAATTAGAAGTGCCTGGAAGAGATGAAGTCGCAGTACCTGGGCCTCTCATATTTCCCAGTAAAGCTGGATAATACATTGTCTGAGAGTTGCCTTCTTCTTGTCCTGGAATTTCTATAAATATAAACTTTTCAACTTCTGAAAGAAAAGAATCTTGAACTGTAAATTCTATATGAGGCAAAACTATCCTTCTGGACAAAAAGGCAAAATAAAGACTTTTCTCAAACAAACAAACAAAACTAAAAGAATCTGTCTGTCGCAGAGTTACTTGTATAAAAGGGTAAAGGAAAGTCTTCAAACAGAAAGAGTATGATGAAAGAAGGAATCTTGGAGCATCAGGAAGAAAGAAAGAACACTGGAAAGATCAGAATATGGATGTGAAGAAACTACATCACCCATACATTGCTCTTGGGAATGTATAATAGTACAGCCTCTCTGGAAAACTGTTTGGCAGTTTCTTATAAAACTAAATATGCTATTACCATAAGACCTAGAAATTGCACTTTTGTAATTCATGAAAGAGAAATGAAAACTTACATTTACACAAAAATCAGTACATGAATATTCATAGCAGTTTACTCCTAATACCAAAAAGTGGGGAAAAATAATGTCCTTCAATGGGTAAATGGTTTAAAACAACTATGATATATCCAAACCATGGAAAACTACTCAGCAATAAAAAGGGAGGAACTACTGATATGCACAACAACCTGTATGAGAGTCCCCAAGGAATTATACTGACTGAAAAAAATCTACATACTGTAAGATTCCTTTTATATAAACATACTTAAAGTGACAAAAGTATAGAGGCCCATGTTTGGCAGGGATTAGAGAACAGGCACCAGGGAAGGAAAGGGTGACCTGAGTGAGGTGTAGGTAGCTATTAAAGGGCAAGATTAGGCAGCCTGGCAGTTATGGAAATGTTCTGTGTCTTAACTGTAGAGGTAGGAATCAAACCTACTCTGATAAGAAATTTGCATAGAAGTAAATATAAACACACACAAATTACTACAAGTAAAATCAAGAACAGTTCAATAACATTTGTGTATTGTATCAATGTCGATATCCTGCTTGTGTTATTTTACTATAGCTTTACAAGATGTTATTGTTGGGAGAAAAGGGTAAAGTGTAAAGAGGATCATTTATATTACTGCTTACAAATACATGTGAATTTAAAATTATTTCCAAGTTAAAAGTTGAATTTAAAAAATGAGCTACAACTAGCTTGCATTAAGGATGTTGACATAACCAGATTCAACAGTGCTATTTGTAATGGAGCATCTGAAACTCACCAAAATTAGTAGGAGGGTAGACAGACGAAGAGGAAGAATAGTGGCCACTGTCATTTTCCAAAAAATTTTGATAATTCCTTGTCTCAGAGTTGTTTTCCAGGCTGGCTTCTGCTACTTTTGGCTTATCTATGGAAAGAACATTTTTCAAATGCTTAAGAAAAGAACTCTCGACCATGAACTTATACATAGCAAAACTATCCGTAAATAGTGTATAGGAAATAAAGACATTCTCATATAGAAGGAAACTAAATTTATCCCTCACAGACTTATCCTTAAAGAAAGGCCAAAGGAAAATCTTCATATAGAAAGGATATTATGATGTTATAAGATCATATGCTATTAATATTAAAGAAAAATAAAATTAAAAATAAAAAGAAGAAAGGATATGATGAAAGAATGAATCTTTGAGCATTAGGAAGAAAGAAAGAATAGAAAGAGCAGAAATATGCATGCAGAGAAGCTGGATCATTCATACATTACTGGTGACGAGGTAAAATGGTATAGCCCCTCTGAAAAAAAAAAACTCTAGCAGTTTCTTATAAAATTAAATATGGATTACCATATGACCCAGAACTGCATATAAATTTATGTTTTTACACAAAAACCAGTACATGAATTTTCATAAAGTTTACTTGTAATAGCCAAATATTGGAAACCTCCCAGATGTCATTCAGTGGGTGGACAGATAAACAAATAGTTGTACATCTATACCATGGAAGAGTACTCAACAATAAAAATGGAGGAACTATTGGTACATGCATTAATTGGTGTGAATCTCAAGAAAATTATGCTTAGTGAAAAAAAGCCACATCCAAAGGTTACACAGTATTTGATTCCATTTAAACAAAATTATAGCAAGGGAAGTCATATCACTGATTGTCAGTGGTTAAGATGGGGCAGGGTGGGAGGGAAGGGAGACCAGAGGGAGGTGGTTGTGGTTACAATATGGTAATATGAGGGATCCTTGTGGTGGTGATGAAATGCTCTGCATAGTGACTAGTGGTGGACACATAAACCAACTCATGTGATAAAACTGCATATAACTAAATATACACACACATAAATGTGAGTTTAATCAATGTCAATATCCTGGCTGTGATATTTTACTATAATTCTACAAGATGTTATCATTGGGGAAAATGGGTAAAGCATAAATGGGATCTCTGTATAATTTCTTAGAACTACATGTGAATCTAAAATCTCAAAATAAAAAGCTTAATTTAAGAAAAAGAGCTACCACCAACTTGCATTAAGAATATCAATGGAAAATAAACTCTTGACCATAAATTCTATAGCCAGCAAAACTATTCTTGAAGAAAGTAGGGGAGATTAAGACATTTTCACATGAAGGAAAACTAAAAAACCTTAAAGAAAGGCAAAAGAAAATTATTCAAAAAAAAAGGAATTGATGAAAGAAGGACATCTGTAGCATCAGGAAGGAAGAAAGAGTAATAGAAAGAACAGAAATATGGATATGGGGAAACTAGATCACTCGTACATTACTGGTGGAAATGGAAAATGGTAAAGATTCCCAGGAAAACTGTTTGTCAGTTTCTTATAAAACTAAACATGCTATTACCAGAAGACCCAGCAACTGTACTCTTTGCATTCATGACACAAATAAAAGCTTGTATTAGTATTCATACAAAAACTTGTCCATAAATGTTCATAACAGCTTCCTAATATCCAAAAACTGGAAAAACCAAGATATCCTTTCAATGGTTGAATGGCTAAACAAACTGTGGCACAGCCATACCATGAAAAACAATTCAAAAGTAAAAAAGAGAAAACTGTTGATACATGCAACAACTTGGACAGGTTTTGAGAGAATTATGTTGAGTGAAAAAATGCCAATTCCTGAACATTATATACCATAACATTCCCTTAATATTCTTGAAGTGACAAAATTATAAATGGAGAACAGCTCAGTAGTTGCCAGGTGTTAGGGATGGGGTAGGCTGGAAGGGAAAGGTGACGTGAGGGAAATGATTGTGATTATCAAAGGGTAAAACGTGAGGGAAATGATTGTGATTATCAAAGGGTAAAATGAGGCATCCTTGCAGTGACGGAAATGTTCTGTATCTTGACCGTGGTGGTGGACATCAAACCCACTCGCATGATAAAACTGCACAGAACTAAATATACACGCACAAATTAATACAAGTAAACCTGGGAACATCTCAATAAGATCTGTGGATCGTCTCAATGTCAACATGTTGGTTGTGATATTTTAGTTTTAAAGATGTTATCATTGGAGGAAATGGCTAAAGGATAAACAAGATCTTTGCGTTATCTCTTACAACCATATGTGAATCTAAAATTATCTCAAACTAAAAAGTTTAATTTAAAAAGAGTCACACTAGCTTGCATTAAGGATGTTGGTGAATCTAGATTAAACAGTGCTATTTGTAATATGGAACATATCAAACTCACCAAAATTGGGAGGAATGGAGTGAGATGAAGAGGCTGTATCCTGGCCACTGTGATTTCCCAATGAAGCTGGGTAATTCATAGTCTCGGTGCTGTTTTCAAGGATGGTTTCTGCTTTTTCTGGCATTGCTGTAAATAATAAGTTTTCAAGTGCTATAACATGTAACTTTCGTCCACAAACTCTATACAAGGCAAAACTATCAGGAAAGAAGGGGAAATAAAGACATCCACACACAAAGGAAAACTAAAAGAATCTGTCTCCAGCAAACTTACCCTCAAAAGAAGGTTAAAGGAAAATCTTCAATCAAAAAATTAAATATGAAAGAAGAAATCCTGGAGCATCAGGAAGGAAGAAAGAACAGTAGAAAGAGCATAAATATGGATACAGAGAAACTGGATCACCCATATGCAGCTGGCAGGAATGTCAAATGGTACAGCCACACCGGCAAACAGGCAGTTTCTCATAAAACTAAACATGTGTATGTCCAAACTCATCAAATTGTGTACATTAAATATGTGAAGTTTTTTGCATATCAATTACTATGGTTTGACTGTGTCCTCTCTGAAATTCAGGGGTTGCCAATGTGACGGTATTAAGAGACTGGGCCTTTCACAGGTAATTAGGCCATGAGGGCTCCTCCCTTGTGAATGGGATTAAGGCCCTTATGAAGGAGGATTCACACAGCATTTTCTGAGCTTGTCCTTCTACCTTCTCCCATGTGAGAACACAGCATTCCTCCCTTCCAGAGGATGCGGCCCTCATCAGACAAACAAACCTGCTAGATTCTTGATCTTGGACTTCCCAGCATCCGGAGCTCTGCGAAAATAAGTATCTGTTCTTTATAAATTACCTAGTTTGTGGTATTTTGTTGTAGCATAACAAATGGACTAAGATATCAAATTATATCTCAATAAAGATGTTTTTTAAAAATACTAAACATGCAATTAACATATAGCCAGCAATTGCACTCTTGGGTGTTCATGTCAGCCAAATGAAAACTTACATTTACACCAAAACTGGTACATAAATTTTCATAGCAGCTTTACTCCTAATAGTCAAAAGCTGGGGGGAAAAACCCTAAAATTTCCTCCAATAGATGAATGGTTAAATCATGTACACTTATACCATGGAAACCATTCAGCCACAAGAACTATCAAGTAGACCTATTCAGTACTGACTCAGCAACAAGAAAGAACTACTGATACACACTTCGTTGAATCTCCAGGGAATTAGGTTGAGTAAGAAAAGCCAATACCAAAAGGTTATATACTATATGCATCCAATTATATAACAATACTAAAATGACAAAATTGTAGAGATGGAGAACAGATCGTGATTGCCAAGGGTTAGGGACAGGTGAGTGGGGGAAGGAAGGGCCATCAGAAGGGGATGGGTTTGGTTATATTAATAAAAGTGCAATACGTGAACCTTCTGATGATAGAACCGTTCTGTACCTTGACTATGATGGTGAACATACAAACATTCTCATGTAATAAAATTTCAAAGAACTAAATTCACAGACACACAAATGAATACACTATAGCCTTACAACAAGATGCTACCATTTGGGGGAAATTGAGTAAAGGGTATTATTTCTTACAACTATGTGTGAATCTACAATGATCTCAATATAAAACTTTTAATGTAAAAAATAACACTAATTTGCATTAAGGATGTTTTTAACTCTAGATTAAAGGAGGATGCTATTTATAATACATGTCATTTCAAACTCACCAAAATTGGGAAGCTTGCAGAAAGATAATGAAGTAACATGTGGGTCCATATTCTCCTTTTCCACTAAAACTGAATAATTCCTCATATCAGGGTTATTTGGCAGACTGGGCTGTACTTGTGGCAGAACTGGTATAGGTACTGTTGTGGTAGCTTGGGCAGATCGGATGACACCATTGGCATTTTCAGCACCTTTGTTGGAAGAATCTGATGGTGCAGAGAGATGCAGACATAATGAATGTGTAGAGACAATGCTGGGAAGTGATGGATTCTCCCTGGGGTCTGGCTGCTGCGATTCAGGGCATGCTGCTGACTGAAGAGATGTTCCTGCAGGATTGGCCCCGGTGTGGGCTTCCTGAGTTTCCACTAATAATGATGTGTTACAATTTTCCTGTCCAGGGTAAGAAAATAGAATGAATTTAACTCTTTTCTTTGGTTCCTGGACTTCAATTTCTCCATGAGATATACAATCAAAACTTTTTTGTGTAAATCCAGATGACCTCTCAAATGACATCAACCAATATAAACCAACTGTAACTAAAAATGAGGTTTAAAAAGTTGGTAAAAACATTTCATGCTTATTTCTCTTCAAACATCATTTTCCAATATTAAGGATAAATTTGTATTTTGATTATGTTTTTAATTCATTTTCAACCCTACATTTTAATTGCATTCTATACATGATGCTTACTAACATAAAAATACCCAATGTCATAATTTATCAAACCTTAACTTCAGCATTCTTCTTCCAACAGTTTTAGCCCCCCATCTGCTATTAAAATAAGTTGCAATCAGCCTTGCTAATCTCATAGTTACTAGTTCTAGTCACTTCTAACTGGTTGGTATCTTTAGGAACTAGAGGTTTAACGAAGTTGTAAAAATATTTTTATAACACTTACACGTTTTATTATCAATGATTTCTTCCCAGATCCTTGTATTTTTGAAACGATTTCACAAAGCCGGTTAACCTGATTATACGTGCTTTCAATAAGTTCTGGTAAATCCTATTATAATAAAAAAAATTAGCAGTTCCTATATCGAAAGAAAAGTAACATGTGAAAATACCATTAAGTCAAATTTTAACTGCCAGACACAACAAAATTTCTCGAGCCCTCAGAAATGTCTTACTTCCTACTTGAGGCCTGGTTGTAGGTAATACAGCCAACTGGCTGAGCTAAAGAGCCCCAACTTACCCTCCACCACTCTATTCCATGCAGGCGTTGAAGAACCTTTAATGCTGGAAAGGGAATGTACCACACTTCCTCTAACCCATCACACTGATGATGGAGCCATTTCACACCAAGGAAGGCGCCATTGTAGGAAAGAAATGTTCAAATCTGCTAAAAGGCCAAAGACTCATTTTCTATATAATGACTCATGAACATGATAAGTCATTATCATGTTCATATATAACATATATGTATGTTATATACATATGTGTATATAGAAGTCTATATATAGACAGTGAGTGTTCCACTCCGGAAAGAACATTGAGCCAAGTATAACAGATATGATTTTTGCCTTCAAAGTATTTTAAAATCATGCAGTCAACAATTAACTATAAAAAACCATTGAGTACATATCCCTATATACCAATCAGTTATGTGACTGATAAAAATCTGAAGATTCTTCCTGAAATACACAGAACTTTCAGGCAAAAAATACTTAAACGAAAGGCCAGAAACATTTCCTCATTCATTCATTTATTCATTCAATTAAGCATTATTGTCGGCCTACCACCTGTCAGAACTACTTTCCTAGGTGCTGAGAACATGGACTTAGAAAAAAGCTCCTATCCTAGAGGAACTCCCATCTCAGCTGAGAAGAGAGACAAGTAAAGAGACAATTCCAACAGAGACTAAGTGATTAACGGCCTGGATCATTGGTTCCCAAAGTGTGGTCTGTGGAGTGACAATGTCATCACCTGCAAGCTTGTTAGAAATGCAAAACCTCAGGCTCCACATCAGACCTACTCAGTTGGGAACTCTGAGAGTGGAGACAGCAGTCTGTGTTTTAACGAGCTCTCCAGGTGATTCTGAAGCTCACTCAAGTGTGCAAACCACTGGCCTGAGAATCTGAGATAAACAGCACAGGCTCTAGGGGAACGCTGTTGGGGTCAAATACTAGACTTCTACTGCTTATCAGCAGTGTGACCTTGGGCGAGTTACTTAACCTCTCTGTGCTTCACTTTCTTTATGTAGGATATCGGATAAACATATCTCTTAATGTTCTTTTGAGGACAGGAACCTTGCTAGAGTATCATGTTAATATAATACTAACAATGACAATACTATGTGATGCCTGGTCCAACAGTGCTCAATGGTATAATCATATTATTATTTTTACTGGCATTACCAGTGCCATGACACAGGTAAGAACAGGAGGCTAAGCATGCACAGAAGAGCAGGACCTAACCCAGGCTGGTAGTCATGGGAGGCTTTGCAGAGAAGGTGATGTCAGGGTTGAGAATGAAAAGATGAGAAGGTGTTCGCCAGGTGAAGATGCATGGCCGGGCACACGGGGCAGGAGGAACAGCATGTTCTAACATACTCGGAAAGAAAAACAGGAAACTAGATTACGTGGACAGTGACTATCAATGACATAGCAGGAACTGGGCTGTCATGAGAGGTAAGAGAGTGAAGTGACAACAAACGAGGGATGGGGAGGCAAGAGAAGTGGCTTTTCAAAGCTGTGAGAAGGGGAAGGTGTGACAAGGACAGGGCTGGAGCTGGAGGAGGCTGGAGCCTGATGGGGGGCAGTGTCTGAGCACAGGGGAAAGGGCCAGACTCAGAAACCAGAGCAGGTGTCAGTCCTGACAGTGGGAGACACCTTTCCGTTGCAGTGATCAGGAAGCGGGTGAGAAGGATGGGGTCGGGCTGGCTGGTGGGCTATGGGGACAGGAACAAGGCCATGGAGGGGAGGACTGCTACAGGAGAGAAGCGGCAGCACTGGGGTAGGTGAGGCGAGGTGGGTAGGGGCTCCCTGGAGCTCGTGACGGGTGACCGGGCAGGGACGGCCAGCGGAGGGCATCCTCCTCTGCTCCCAGCCTGAAAGGGGCAGGGGTGGACAGGAGAGGGTGCTGGGCAAGGACAAGGGGCTCGGTGGAGGGAATGGGAGGAAAGAAGAGCAGGCTGAAGCATCTAGAATGGGAAGGGAGACGTGGAAGAAGGAAAGAGCCGGCCCTCGGGGGCAATGGAGAGGAGCACTCGGGCCATTTCACGCTGTGGCTCTGGCCCTGGGCACCTCCCAGCCCAGCTCTCACCCGTGCTGAGCAGACCTAGGCTGCCCACAGAGGACCCTCAGGCAAGGGGTAAGGCAGGCAGGAGAGCCTGCTCCTCCCTCTCCAGCCCACCTGGGCCCTCCTTCCCCTCCATCTGGCCAGCTGCACATGACCCTTGGAAACATTCCACTTCTCTCCTTGCTAATGATAAAGACCCAAACACTTTCACTTCTCAAAGTGTGTTAGCTCATCTCATTCAAGAAACTCTATATGTTAAGAAACATTTATTCATTTTTTAAAAAAACTTTCATTACCTCTTGGGTATGCAGCTCACAAAATTCCTGGTAATCACATACCTCTGTCCATCGCTACCAACATGCTAATTTTTACGAAATCCCCTCGAAACACAAGATATACTCTTTACAAAACATTGATGGGCTGCCACTTTGTTTCAACTGAGATATCTTGATATGCATTTAGGCATAAACTACATTTCATCCAGTTGATTTCCTAAAAGATTATGTTAGAGAAATTAAATATCAAACAATCAGGTGAAAGAGGCTTAACTATTAGGTTGGTGCAAAAGTAACTGCAGTTTTGGACCACTAATTTTAAATCATTATAACTAGGCTCAAACACATCTTTATTAATCAAAATAGGAACCATTCCAATCAACACATTTTTGCCAACAAGAAATAAGTTTGTTTATTCCTGTAGCGTAAAAATCCATGCTTCGGGATTTGACAAACTCTTGGAAAGCATTTTCTGCATCCTGCTGGTTGTAGAAGCGTTTTCCCTGCAAAAAGTTGTCGAGATGCTTGGAGAAATGGTAGTCAGCTGGCGAGAGATCAGGTGAATATGGCGGATGAGGCAAAACTTCGTAGCCCAATTTGTTCAACTTTTGAAGTTTTGGTTGTGCGACATGCTGTCGGGCATTGTCATGGAGAAGAATTGGGCCCTTCTGTTAACCAATGCCACCTGCAGGTGTTGCAGTTTTCGGTGCATCTCATTGATTTGCTGAGCATAATTCTCAGATGGAATGGTTTCCCTGGGATTCAGAAAGCTGCAGTAGATCGGATCGGCAGCAGACTACCAAACAGTCACCATCATCTTTTTTTGGTGCAAATTTGGCTTTGGGAAGTGCTTTGGAGCTTCTTCTCGGTCCAACCACTGAGCTGGTCGTCAGTGGTTGTCGTACAAAATCCACTTTTCGTCACACATCACAATCCGATCAAGAAATGGTTCATTGTAATTGTGCACAAGAAGAGGACACTTCAAAACGACGATTTTTTTTTATTTTTGGCCATCTCATGAGGCACCCACTTATCGAGCTTTTTTACCTTTCCAATTTGCTTCAAATGCCAAACAACCCATAGAATGGTCGATGTTGAGTTCTTCAGCAACTTCTCATGTTGTTGTAGGAGGATCAGCTTCAATGAGTGCTCTCAATTGGTCGCTGTCAACTTCTGATGGCCGGCCACTGCACTCCTCATCTTCAAAGCTCTCGGCTCCTTTGCAAAACTTCTTGAACCACCACTGCACTGTACATTCACTAACAGTTCCTGGGCCAAATGCATTGATGATATTGTGAGTTGTCGCCGCCGCTTTATGACCCATTTTGAACTCGAATAAGAAAATCAGTCAAATTTGCTTTTTGTCTAACATCATTTCCATAGTCTAACACAAATATAAAATAAACAGCAAGTAATAAGTCATTCGCAAAAAAATGTAAAGCGAGAAATGAGCATTAAAATGATGTATAACATAACCACATTTAAGAATGTATTCCAACATCAAACAGCAAATTTGAACAATGCTAAAACTGCAATTACTTTGCACCAACCTTAATACATTTTATCAGTTATGGGCTGTTTTTTTTAAAAAAAAAAACCTACAGAAATCATTTTTATTTCAAATTTTTCACCTTGGGAAACTATTCTAACTAGAAACTTTTTAAAAGTGTACCACAGTGGGGTGATAATCATAGACAACTTGACATGGCAAAATTTCTATTAATTGTACAATAACATTAAATGTGATAAGGAAAAATTTAGCTCAATATTTCAGAAAACTACATTTGAGAGACAGAAGTCTAATACCTCACAATAGTGCTAGGATTCCATAAGTTGATTTTGATGATTTTCATCAAAGGAAACTTCAGCCATATTGCTCATCTATTAATATTATAAAATAAGTAGTCAATGCTAATATCACTAGCAGCCAAATTAAGCACTATAAAAAATTACACTTTAAATACTTATCTTTTTTCATTGTTTTCATTTTTCCCCTATGTTCCAAAGGATTTCAGAAATCTTTTACTATAAACCAGAGATAAAGTAAAACCAAAACCCACATTCATATGAGAATGAAAAAGAGTTGATTAATAAAGGAGGTAAGGAAAGAAGTTATTATATAAGAATGTAGGTTTAAGAAAAGCTACTGAATATCAGTATGAACATATAGTTTTTGATACATATAAAGATAGGCACAGAAATATAAATTTATGTATATGCACACATTAGAATACATACATTTATTTCCTGGCTCTGTCAGCTAAGAGGCCTAGGATCAATGACACAAGAACAGCAGTGAACACACCTAGTGTCCAGATCTTGGTTTCTAAATACCATTCTCCAATAAAAGGAACCAGGGCTCCTTCAAGAGAAGTTGAATTCCAGGGCTGGGACAAGGAAAGTACAGATGAGCCTAGAACATCTTGTGATGTAAGAAAATAAGGAAGTGCTCAAAAAGGGTGGGAACAGGTCAAAAGGCCACAGGAGCCAACTAGAAGGAGTTCCCAAAAGCCAACACTGGAAAATTTGGTCAATGAAATAAATAACTATAATACTAGATTATAACTCATATAATGCAACATATGTCTATGAGTCCACATTTATGTAAATATATATAACTACATAAATAAGTAAAAGATAAGAGACATCTCTTCCTTACAAATGAATTCCAATTAATAAATACAGAAAGAATGAGGAAAACAGAGCATTACCACGAGGCAAACGCCACAGTAATGATTACTGCAGGTAAAATCCATGGATGGATGCTAACTCAACTTGGTGGGTTGAGGAAAAACAGGATATTAAAATAGTCTCAAAGTACCCTTCCATTCAAGATACTTATCACTTACAAAGGGAAAAATAATATAACTTTACAATGGAAAAATCTAGAAGACACTATGTAAACCAAGTGATTGATGTTAACATCACCAATAAAAAGATGTATCAACACAATGTACCCTCTGATATGAGTCAATGAGGAGATAACATCATCCGTGTGGTATTCTTGCCAAAACTGCATAATCTCAATGTATTCAAGAGAAAGTATAAGATGCACCAAGATTAAGACATTTTATAAAATAACTGACCAGTAGTCATCAAAAGTGTCAAGGAAAGAATGAGGAGCTATCATAGACTACAAGAGGCTAAGGAGACACAACTAAATTCAATGTCGAATACTAGATTGGATCCTGGAAAAGAAAAAGGACGTAGGGGTAGGAGGGAATGGCAACATTCAAACAGTACAGTTTAGCCAACAGTACTGCACCAATGTTAATGTTCTGGTTTTGATAACTGTACCGCGGTTTTACAATTATCATAATTTTAAGTTATACAGGTAAGTTAACATTAAGGGAAGCTGTGTGAAGTATATACATAAGAACTCTCTGCAATATTTTGCAACATTTCTGTAAATTTAAAATTATTTCAAAAATTAGAAAAGTTAACGAAAATGGGTACAAAATGCTGTGAATTTCCTATTACACCAGAAAAAGAGGAAAACAAAATGATTAAGAGCTCATTGTCTAATGAAAAGAAGTATACAAATTCAAGAGAGAGAAATATTTCCTTGAGCCTGAGTTCAGAGTAACTCCAGTCTATGAAGGCTGAAAAAAAATCTAAATCATTTTCTTGGTGAGGCCTAAGCGTGAACATATTTGGCAATTAGCAATTAATATTAAGTAATTATTCAAAGTCTGAAGTCACTACCACCTTCTTCACAATCGGGTATTCATGTTCTTGTCTAAGGAAGATTTATTAATAAGCCAAAAGGAAATATGAAAAAAAGAACTCAAAGAAAAGTTCAAGACTTTTATTTCATTTTTAAGAAGCACGAAAAGCGTATTTGTTATCTCAAAGAGCCTTTGCCCATGGCAAATCCTAAGACAACATGAAAAGATGTACTTGCAGAACTGTGTTCTCCTTAACCCAGATCCACTTAAGATACCTTTTTCCATCAAGCTTAACCCCGTATGTACTTCAGAGTAGAAAGACTAGTCTTCTAGTACCAGAACTGCTTTAAAAGCAAATATTTCTAACCATGCACAAAGAACCAAATGTTACAGGACTTTTGATTTGTAAATAATCCAACAGTGACACTCTGTGGACAAGATAGGAAACACTTAGGCACCTATTTTTCTTGATAAATTAATCTCCAAATCATCTTAAAACATTTTTTTTTTTTTGAGACAGAGTCTCACTGTGTTGCCCGGACTAGAGTGCCGGGGCATCATCCTAGCTCACAGCAACCTCAAACTCCTGGGCTCAAGCGATCCTCCTGCCTCAGCCTCC